AGTACGTACACACTGCAGTTTACAGTTCACTGCAGTTTGTGGAACATACCTAGTTGCAACTATCTCACATAGTGGAACAATTTTTTGAGCTCCAAATCAATTTTGTTTTAAGGAGATTGTTTTTGGACAGGAGATTGATAATGCTATTAGGTCTAAACTCCAAAGCGGTTTGAGGTAAGTTAACATAGAAATCTAATGTTCCAGGGACAGAAGAAAGTTCACCCTTCAACTATTTTCCTCTAAAGCATAAATCTTGCAATGAAAATTATTTGCATTATGAAGTATTTATATTAGATTCAAAGGTTGCATGTTTTCTCAAATGGACGATTCAAAGATTACAGCCTTTAGTTTTGAACACAATGCCCTAGAGTCATATAATGGCTTAAAATTAAAAGGAAGGAAAAAACAAAATAAAAATGCAACAATCACATGCTACTGAAAAGATGACTTTGAACTTCATGAAAAGACAGCTCTCATGAGTCATAACAAACAAACTGGTTGCTCCAAATTCCCATGAAAATAAAAGAAGATGTCATTAAGAAAGAACAATCTTAACTAGCATAGCTCAGAAATACTTCCAATGCAGCATGCAAGCATTTTTATGCAATTAAAGTATTAAAAGTGGGTACCCAAGAGCCATCTCCATGAGACGCCACACGCACAAACACACTTACATATGTATGTTGTATGTTGTGAATCGATTTGAATACATGCACATATAAATGTATTAGACACATATACAGACAAATGTGCATGCGCATTTATTCCACTTAGGCATCCCAACCACGGCAGCCCAAATATTATCAAGAGACACCAAGTTCTACCAATCATATCATCGCACAATCCAAACATCCCGTAATGGCAGGCAGCCAACACAATGTTAGGAGCCACCTAGCACCTTCAAACATGTGTTCTCACAATCCAACAATTGGTTCTTTCTAGGCTAACATATACGAGAAAAACTTGCCAAGGAAGCTCTTCAGCCGTAAGTGTTCCATTTAATAGTTAAGATAACCATGAATCCAAGATTTATTCCCTACCCTAATCCCTAAAATTTAGTTTTTATACTTTGTCAAAGAGATGATGTCTACGGTCATGGGAGCATGACCATCCATCCAGTGCATACATTGTACATGGTTTTCAAAACCACGCTAAAAATAATCCAATTTCAATATGATAACACATGTTTCAAACGTAAAATATCCACAATTAAACTTCAGACTATGACACCATGTTATTACTAAGAAAAAACTGAAGTTATCATCCTACCAAAACAGAAACAGCTTTCCTATCATCTTATTCAAAGCTAACAAACAAAGAATCTGTTAACATTCAATTATGGATGCATGCCCCTAAAAGTTTTTTTTCTATGACAGGTAAATGATATTCACCAACGACAAGCGGTACACATCAAGTTGCACCAGGAGAAGGCATGCATCAATGCGGATGAGAGAGAGAGAGAGAGAGAGAGAGAAAGCAGATACAGCTTGGCATCAATCAAGTTTAAAACATGTTGCTTACCTGTAGAGCCCTTGCAAACATCCGACGCTTCCGAAGAGTGAACATGGCTCCCAAAACACCCTCCCTGTTGACAACATTACCATCTGCCACCCACTTATCAATAGCACTATGGATCGATTGGTGCTGAGCATTCAAGATAACCTTGAACAAACGAGATTCGCCACTCTTTTTTGGGGCCTCCTTCTCAACACATGATCCTCCTTCTTCTTCTGAAAGACAAGGCTCAACTTGTGAATTTTCCGAAATATTTTCAGTTGAATCGTCATCAGATAACTCAGGTTCTGAAACCTTTGATTCTCCAACTTCCTCTCCTGAGTCATCAGTGTCTTGGGCAGTTTCCAGCTCTGAAAACCCATCTTCTAATTCTTCATCATCCTTACCAGACTCAGTGCCAGCTTGTGAAGAGAGAGAGCGACCCTCCACCATGAATTTATTTTTGAAAGATGGACAGTGGAAAAACCTCTTGGTCGAGCGACACTGATGGCATTCAATGTTATTTACAGTCCTTTGCCAGTATTGCAAGACATTTGCTTCTGTTTCATTTGGAAATTCTAGCTTGCTAAATGAAGCTCGAGACACACACAAAAGATATCCATTGTTCCTGATAAACATCAGATTATGCATGTCAAATTAACTTAGAGGAATTAACTCAACAATGAACTGAAAGAGAAAACATGCAATAGTCTCATATACATTCAACATGTAAGTAGTTGAAGGGAATTTGCAATTGTCTTTGGGTCAATGAAGAGACCTCAATATAAAATCTAATAATCCCCAATGTGAGAGCAACAATAGCACAAACCAATAAAACAAAAAAATATAGAAATAAAGAGGGGGACTCACAAAGCAGATAGTGCAATCACATAAGTATTATTTACAACTACTTGAAAGTTGGAGTCCAATCTGGTTTCATACGATCCCTGAAGATAATGCTGTCCGAATGAAATGAACTGAACAAAAACAAATGGGAATGATCCTTGGACATAAAAATTTCACATTCTAAATAAAACAGGAGCAATTATTCTAAGTTTAAAATATTATAAATCCTATCTGAATTCCTACCTGCATATTAAGGTGGGACAAAAAATATACAGGCGAAGTAAAACAAAACCGGTACAGCTACAAAAGAATCCCAAAAAAAAATGGAAGATAACGTGAATGATAACAGATTCACAGCTTGCAAATGCAAAACAAAATGTTTTATGGGATAAGCAAATGCAAAAGCAAAGATGTTCATATTGCACTAAAAAACAAAAGCAACAGAACTTCCCTATATAAGCTTGGACTTCTACTGATAGACCAATAGAGATGGATAAACTATTAGAGAGAGAAACAAATAACTTACACTCGCTGAAGAACACGGAGAAGTATGGCTCAGAAGTAGGTAAAAACCAGGGCGAAAAAAAAAAGACCGAGCGAAGGAATTTTAGAGAGAGAAAGAAGCATTACCTGAATGGATTGGCTCCTCTGCGAAGTGCCCACATGACAACAGTTGGTGGGAGAAGGGAGAAAAGAGAGAGAAAGAGGCGTGAGATCAAATACAGAGAGAGAATACGTCAAATGTTAGAGAGAGAAAGGGGAAGATAGTTGTAGTTTGGAAGTACTGTTAGAGAGAGACGCGCAGGGGTGCATAAACCCTAAACCACTGGTACTTCGACCTTCAGTTCTGAAGTTTGTTAGTGACGCGCAGGGGTGCATTAACCCTAAACCATAGGTCACGGATGCATAGCGACGCGCAGGGGTGCATAAACCCTAAACCACAGGTACTTCGACCTTCAGTTCCGAAGTTTGTTAGAGACGAGCAGGGGTGCATAAACCCTAAACCATAGGTCACGGATGCATAGCGGAAAATTGCATGCACGCCCAAAAAAGAGGGCGAGCATACTACGCTCGGGCGGGATCAAACTATTCATTTGCTTCTTGGCGCAAAAACATGCACTAAATACTTTTTCGATCTGAAAATCTGCAATCCATTTAAATATCATAACGTGATTACTTCCAAATAAAAAAGTTGGATTTAGATTTTTCTTTGCAATAATCTGGCGGTGTTTGTTCAATTTGGGACATTGCTTTAGTCTTGTAGAATGTTTGCTTGATTTCTCCCTCTTTTTCTTTTTCTTGTTTAGAGAAATTCAGAGCTTTATTAATCAACAATTAAAAGGAAATTACATAATTCGATACCAAAGTTTCAGTTAAAGTAGTGCCTCCTTTGGCAAGGAAATCCGCCAATACATTAGCGTCACGGAAAACATACACAAAGGAGAAGAGAAAAGGCCTAGATATGTCCCAAATTTGTAGCAAAATGGACCGAAATCCTCAATGGGATTTTTGCTCCCTATTACACAACTTGATGACATTCAATGAATCACCTTCCCCAAACCCTAAATTCCTTACCACAAAAAGTTTTAAACTATTAAAGAGAGCAAAGAGTTTTGCACAGTTTGCAGTTTTCTCTCCCAGAGGGCCTGCATAAGCAAAGATAAATGATCCATTTCAATCCGTCACCACTCCTCCAAAACCAGTTAGACCTGGGTTTCCTAATGAGCTACCATCAAAATTAAGTTTAAAAATCCCTTCCAAAGGAGGTACCTATCTCCCCTTAGGCCTGCATGTAAAAGAGCCAAATTGGAAAAGATTCGATAGGTTTCTCCTATCATCCGCTTCCAGAATATCTTTCCCAACTTTTGTAATTGAACATGAAAGCCAAATAGAGTGTAACATTTTCTCCATAATTCTCTCAATAAACATACAAATTCCATCAAACACTTCTATTTCTTTTATTCCAAACTTCTCATATTATCAGTCCTCTCGCAATTTGCCAAATCACCATGCTTGTTTGTGGAAGCATAGAAAACACTAAGTTTGACATTATCCCTTTGACTTCCAAAAGCATAACCATTGCAATCCAAGTTGATAAAAAACCTATCGCCAAATTTTAAAAAGCAAAAGAACAATGGAGAAACAGATGAGTACATGTTTTAGCATCATTCTTACACAATAGGCATATATTAGGCAAAATCTTACCTATCTTAATATCGATTATCAACAGTGAGAATCTTATCTTGCACTACCAACCATAAAATGACTTAAATCTTAAGCGGCAAAGGTCACTTTCAAATAATGGCAATTTCAGGTATTGACCATCTCCAACGATCATGGAAAAGTAGCTTATACATTTACTTCACCGAGTATAAGCCATTTGAGTCAATCTCCTAAACAACCTCATCGGATGCATTCTGTGAAATATAAACTTTCTAAAGAAGTGTTAACAGTGCAACATACTCTCGAAAAATCTATTCCAAAATTCTATTATAGGGGAGAAAAATATTCCATGCAATCTGATTGCCTCTAATTTCAAAAATATCGGCAATAACGGCATTGGGATTATCCCTCTTTTTCTTTTTCGTTCTCTCAATTTTGTTTGGGTGCGGTTTGGAAGTAATCACCTTATGATATTTAAAGGGATTGTCGATTTTCAGAAAGGGTGCGGTTTCTACAGAGCCAAGGCTCTAAACAACCAAGTTAGAACCCACCTTCAAATAGTGTCGAGAAATATGGTTTCGATACTGGAAATCATTAACTAGCCTTAAAATATATTTTCACCTTTAATTATAAGACATAAAGCTTCAAAAATAGTGTAGATCTAGTAGATCTATGGAAATTTGAATAACTTAAAATTTGACGGTCCAAAAATGTGTTACAAGATGCACTATTCCAAATAACTTGCAATCCATTTTTTTTCTCAAGTCCATGCATCTTGATATCAAGATGATCAATTTGAGGATATTTGGGCATCAAAACAACCTCTTCTAGTGAAATTTTTAGATTAGGCTCTAATTTAATTGTTTAGAGCCTAGGCTCTGTATAAACTTTTCCCATTTTGTTTTATAGACTTGGTTTTTATATGGTACATTCCGAAAATTTGGGGTATTAACAATAGGCTCATTTTAATTTTTGTGCTGGAGTAAGTGGACAGTTTACTCCTTCGGCAGAAAAAAGTTATTTGGCAAATAAAATATCCAAATATATATTGATAGAGGAAAGAAGGAAAGAAAGTGTGGAGAGAGTACAGCAAAGAGACTTCAATTATGTTGTTACAAAGGGTTTAACACCACCATCCAAATAGTAAGTTCGAAGATGATGAAGAGACCAAAACCATCCCTTTTTTTTGGGTAAGTCAGTGGGGGAGAAGGCCCCCTACCCGTTTTATCGTTAATAAAAGAGCAAAGAAAAATAATTAACATACAGCCCTATGATAAGGAAATTGTGCCAGATCATGTAATAAAAGAGATGAAAGGAAATCTGGTGGTCTATGGCACCACACAATAGCATCAGGGCCAGCAGCTGCCCTCTTAGCTAGGGCATCAGCAACCATGTTAGCCTCCCGAATGATATGTGTAATGGACCATCGATGAGAAGAAAGCCTAGTGCAACAATTGTCTACAATCATATTTAGCCTTCATGGAGCACGTCATCTAATCTGAATGACATTCACAACCAGGGTTGAGTCACTTTTTATCTGAATTGGAAAGCAATTCTTTTGAATAACCAATTGAACTCCTTTCTCAAGTGCCAAGAATTCGGCATGGTTATTAGAAGAAAACCAAAATGTTTTGCGAAAGCAGCAATAAAACCTCTCGCTCTGTTCCTGAAAACTCTACCACCATCTGCTAAACTTGTATTTCTCAAGGAAGCATCATCAATATTGAGCTTGTAATTATGAGCCTCAGGAAAAAACCACGGTACCAGAATAAAGGATTCTGACCTGTGCTGCTCTCAAGTTATCTGAAGACTACCAATGATGGCCTTTTTTGATAAATGAAAAGACCACTTCTTAACTTCTGCTAGTGCCTGAACATGTAAGGCAGTCATTTTCACAATAATCTCTCTCTTGGTAGGTCTTGACTCAAATACTATTATGTTGCGCTCTTCCCATAGTAACCAAATAGCAGTAAAAAAAGATGGAAGACCAAATATTACGAAGTCCATGTGATTTAAACCTGAAAAGTAACCACCACCTATATAAATCAGGGACAGAGGTACCGAGGACGAACTGTTATCCACATCCCGAAGCTAGTGATCTCCATACACCCTGCACAAAGGCATATTGGAATAATAGATGAAAAAAGTTATCATCATGGTTACTACAAAATGGACATAAAGAATCCAATTGCATGCCCCGCTACTATAATAAAAATGAGGTGGGCAATCAATTATGCAATGCTAGCCATGAAAGCCATTTCATCTTTGGGTAGCATTTAGAGGACCAAAGTGCCCGGAAAATAGGTTGTGAGGAACCTTAATGCCTAATAAAATCCCATGCCCTTTTAATAGAGAATAATCCATCAGTATAATGAATCCAAACCAGTGAATCCTTCTTGGGCTGTAGAGAGAGAGTATAATTATCAACCTCTCTCCATATATACCTCAAAAAAATCAAATGTGAGATGTGGCAGAGCCCAAGATTGCGGTGCACCTCTGATAAAGTCTGACACCCTCCTTCCGACAGCATCCCCCAAATATTCCTGAATGTCAGTATCATGGAAATCTGAAAGTGACTGACCTGTTAACCATGGGTCCATCCAGAAATCCACATTTGACCATTACCAATATTCCACTGTATATTGCTCATATGAGAGACATAAAGGCTACCAAGACCCAATCTTACCAAACACCTTACCCACTAAACTTGGCAATAACTATGCCTCAGATGTCTACGAAATAATGGTAGGCCCAAATAGCAGACTGGAATGACTCATTCAACAAACTTTATCTCCCTTAGATCTCTCTCACGTTCTCCCCATGGTGCACTAAAGAAAAAAACCTTGTTTTTAGATGAATTTAGAATATGACCAGTACCCCTTTCAAACTTATGAATAAGTTCACGCATAGTTATGGCAGAAGAGATGGATGCTTCACAGAAAATAAACACATCATCAGCATAAAAAAAATGAGAGACCCCTTAGTCACACCCTGAAGGAAACGCCTTAGGAACCACACCTTGCAACATAGCACAATCAAGTTGTCTACTAAAAAAATCTATGACCAGCAAAAACAGATAAGGAGATAGAGGATCCCCTTGCCTCAAACCTCTTTTCCCTTTAAAAAAACCCTTGGGTGAGCCATTCCTCAAAACAAAGAAGAAAGTAGTGGAAATACATCAGTGAACCTGAGAAACAAATAACTCTGAAAAACTCAAAGCATGCATCCTACCGATAATAAATTCCCATGACACCCTGTATGCATCCTACCCACAATAAATTCCCATGACACCTTGTCATAGGCACTGCTCAAATCGACTTGCAGACATAGTTTAGGCCAAGCTGAATTCAGATGGCAAAGAGACAGAAGTTTGCTTGCCATGAGAATATTATCAGTAATAAGCCTACCTTTTGGGGGACATAGGTGACCTACTTGGGACGCCTGTAGGGTATTTTGTGAAATCCTTTGAGTTATACATTGCTGTTAAAATATTTATATGCATTTCAATCATTTGGATTATGTTTAATTATGTATTTCTAAAAGTGAAATTGTTATCCATAAATGCTTTTTGGCTCGCATTGTTTCTATTAGACCTCTCTTTTTGAAAATGCTTACATCTTCCGATTATGATTATTTTCGAGCACTATGATGATTACTTACTGAGTAGCCAAACTCATCAAATTATGGTCAAAAAATTTTAGGGTAATTGCGGCCTCCCTAGTTGAAGGCACAACAGGACCAATTGGAAGAAGCCATAGTTATGATGAAATTTTTTCTTTGTGACTTTTTTTCAAATTCACTATTGTAAATTTTTTCCTATCAACAGATGTATATCTAAACCTTCATGTTAATACTAGTTATGAGTAAACTTTGGATAGACTCT